AGCTTCTGCACAGCAAGAGGAACCACTGACATCATGAAGAGGCAATACTATTAAGTGAAATAAATAGGACACAAATGTGTAAATACCAAATAGTTTCCCTGCTGTGAAAAACCAAAATTGTAAATAAGGATCAAAAGGTATAATAGACGATGTGAAACAGAAAGAAAAGGGGCAAAGGGAAAGGGGAAGTGAGAGAGGTAGGGGAATGAAAAGAAGAGAATGGAATTAATATGAGAAAATGAAAAAAATGGAAACAAAGTCTTTGTAAATAGGGAGGGATGGAGGGGTTGAAGGGAGGGAAGGGGAAGGGAGAGAAAATAAGAACCAAGATATATTATGTAAAGGTACAAATTTCCAATGATGAATGTCATTATATTGTATACCTAAAATGTACCAATAAAAATTTTTTAAAGAGACATATTTGGAAAATGTGCAACAAAAACATATATTCATACATTCAAATGCCTACTTTTTGCTTGATTCAGACATCTTGGGTAAATTGGTTACTAGGCTTGTCTGAATACTACTAAACTCTTGACTAAAAGGTAGGAAATGGAATGACTGATAAGCTCCCAAATATCTCTTTTGAGTCTTGTAGGTAGATCCTTTCAAGATCATCAGATTAGAGGCATTAAGCATGACTTCACTGAACCAAAAGTCATTGTAGAAGTAATGATCATCACCAAAGTATGATAGTGAGAGCGAGTGGCAGAAGACAGGAGAAGGGGTTATTAGAGGTAAGAAGCTTAAAGATCCAAGAGACCAAATAACTAGATTATCTATACCACTGGTTCTCAAATTTGACCACATTCTAGAATGATCTGGAAGCTCTTAAAAATCAATATGTATGCCTCTTACTCCCCCAAAATTCAGGCTCAATTGGTTGGAAACAGGGAGAGAGGAAGAGAGAAGAGTAGTCCCAAATAATTTTCTTTTGTCAGTAACTCGGGATCGAACTGGAGATCATGCATGATAAGCAAATGCTCTACCACTGAGCTATATCCCCAACCCTAATCCCAGATAATTTAAAGTGCAACTAGGATTAGGAGAAAGTGGCAGCCCATGCAATCACCAAGAGAGGGCAGGAGTGGTGATAAAGAATACCAGTGAGCCAGGAGAGCTCCAAGCTTCACTGAGAAGAAAGGATAATTTCAGGGTGTAGGTTACTACAGTATGGCAGGTGTATGGGTATTCTGATGGCCTATGCCTCCAAAATGGGGGCTGGAGTGGGGGGAGCAGGAAGCAGAGGGTTAAGGAGATATTCTAAGAGTGGCTGTGAGGAGCAAGAGGACATCTGCCCACCAACAGGCCCCAGCTCAGTTGAGAAGAGTCCTCTGTTTCCCCAGGAAAGACCTAGGGTTCACTCAGAGCAAAATCTGGTGGGTGACATTCATAAAGATGTTGAAAATTCGGAAGAAGGATTTGGGAGTCAGAAGAATGGGGGATGAAACCAAATAAGGGGCTGTCTAGGTATGGAGCGAGTTAAGTAGGGAGCAGAGCCTGGGAATTAATACTTAGATAATCATACGATGGGATTAGTACCATGGCCCTTCGGGGCAAGTTGGTAATCGATTCTAACTAAAGCCTCTCTTTGTACAGTCACATTTCACTTTGATGACAGGATTTGTTCTGAGAAACGCATTGTTAGGCAATTTTGTTGTGGGAACATGCATTTACACAAACCTAGATGTTATACGTCAATCATTCAGCATGCCCTCAAAAGAGGTGGTAAACCCAAGAAATATGAGGCTGCCAGCAGCATAACGTGGCATACTGCAGTGAACTTTTTTTATAAGTAGAAGGAGTGTACTCCAAAATAACAATAAAAAGTATAGCATGGTGCCTACGTAAACCAGTAACATAATCATGCATTATTATTATCAAGTATTTACCGTATGCAATTGTACATGCTATACTTTTGTACACTAGTAGCACAATAGGTTTGTTTAATCAGCATCATTATAAGCATGTTAATAGTGTTTGTACTACAATGATGTTACAATGGCTACAGGGTACCTAGGCAACAGGAATTTTTCAGCTCCATCATAATCCTATAAGATCACTGTGATATTTATGAAAATAAAAAAGCACTGTTAAGTAGCACAGGGCTATATTTTATTTAAGCTCTTGGGCAGTGTGCTAGTTTCCTGTGGCTATTATAACAAATTACCACAAACTTGGTGTCTTAAAACCATAAGAATTTATTTGCCCATAGTTCTAGAGGCCAGAAATCCAAATCTAGGTGTCAGCAGGGTTCTGCTTGCTCTGAAGGTTCTGGAGAAGAATCCTTCCTTGCCTCTTCCTAGGTTCCAGTGGCCCCCAACAGTCCTCTGATCCCTTGACTTGTAGCTGCATTGCTCCAATTGCTGCCTCTGCCTTCCCATGGGCATCTTCCCTCTGCAGATGTTCAAATCTCTGTCCCCTAATAAGGACACCAAACTTTGGATTTAGGGCCCCACCCTAAGTTAGTATGAGCCAATCTTAACTTCATTACATCTGCAAAGACTCTATGTCCAAAATATATTCATAGGTACCAAGGGCTAGGATTTCGACATATCTTTTAGGAGACAAAGTTCAACCCACCATGGACAGTTCATAGAAGTAATGTGCCACTGAGTCTAATATTTACACACAAGGAACACAGGCTATTTGGGCCACTATGAAATCCATCAAGAGCCTGTCACCTCAGCCAGAAGAGGGTAAGCAATGGGCTTTCTTAATAGACCTCGGGGTCCAAGCAGAAGAAAGGGTCGTCTGACCAACTGAACACACAGCCCAGTGGGCCTTCTTCAAACCTGCCTGAGGGAGAGAACAAACCTGATTCAGGGAAAACTCAACCTCATAGTGTCTAAACAATTCAAACAAACTTTCTTTTCAGGGCAGGTCAGCAGTATCTTTCAAAATACATATAGCACATATTTGATGAGCAGCCACAAATTGACAAGATAATGAAAGCCTAAACGATTTCCTGCTATCTCACCATTAGCAGAAAGCAGTGAAACTAGAAAGATAAAGACAGAGAAAATGACCTGTGTTGTACTATAAATCCCAAATTTAGTTAAGTGGATAATGCACTCCACCAATCAATTATGAAGGATTAAGTGCCTAATATTGCAACATTGACACAAGAGAAATAAAATGCACACCACCATCTTGAAAGAAATTTATCTACCAGATGGGGATGTGAAAAACTAGAGCCACATAATAAAGACTAGGTATAATTACTTACTGTTATATAATGTAGGTAGACTTAATAACATAGAAATTTTTAAATAGGAGAGATTAATTACTCTAAGCTTAGCCAAACTGGACTTTCTAAAGTTTGACAAGTATTTCTTTCTGGCCCATTCTGTGGGTTCCACTCACCAGGCTGGCTGGACCCTAACCCCTTAGCTCTCACTCCATGAGATTCCCAGCATCCCTGTTTTACCAAGGGTCACAGATAGCTTGTAAATCAGAAACTGAGCCCAACTCTTTAATCCCCAAGTCACAGGCTTTCTCTACAGCTCACGAGAAAATGAGTACAGTTTGGAAAAGTAAGAGAAAACCCAAAAAAAGTATCTCTTATGTGCGGGAAACAGGATTAATATTTTATTATTACATTTAGTTTGTTGGCTCCTGAGAGGGAGCCTGTGTCCCCAGATGAGAAGCTGCTGTCAGTCCCTTAAAATATCTGCTCTTAAACTATCTGGGTCAGTGAGAAGAGGATCACAAGGTCTCCTTGTGGTTATTTTTAACTTAAAAAAGAAAACCTTTAAAAGAAAGGATAAAAATAAATAAATCAGAAATGGTATAAACTGAAAAGGGAACTATTACACAGGAAGGGCCTGGTTATTGCCCCTGACGGGGAGCTGCAAGGAGGGGTCCCTGGGGAAGTCACAGGGGTTCCTGACTCCATTAGAACTGGAAACATGACCTGGAATCCACATCGGAAAATACACCTGAGAAGGGAGCAGAGAAAAAGATGGGAGATATGCAAGCCCTGGCCTGCTTGCCTACAGAAATACTTTCTTCAGAGAAGGGGGAAAGGAACCTAGAAAACCTGTTCTAGCTTCTACCACTGACTTCTATCCATAATCTTCAAAACACAAAGCAAGGAAAGGGAATCTTTTAAGTAATCACCCTGTGTGACCTGAAAACATGACCAACTGGACACGTGACTGCTGTTTTTCTTGAGAAAGAAAGATATTCTGAGCACTACTTCAGGGTTTTTTTTTTGTTTTTGCTTTTGTTTTGTTTTGTTGCCACCGGGGATCGAACTTGGGACCTTGCACTTATGAGGTAAGCGGTGGAACCACTGAGCTAAATCCCCTGGCCCTACTTCAGAGTTTTTGAGGAAAATCAGCAAACTTCCTTCACAGCTTTCAAAAATCAACACAAAGACATGAGGAATAAGGAAGGAATCCCAGCACCTGGAAGAGAGAGGTTCCTGCAAAGCCTCCCAGTATGTCCTGTGTCAAAGGCAGTGCAGGAGAACAGGAGGTTGCCCTTGGTCTAAGGCAAGACAGGCACAAACACGTGTGGGGCTCCCGACAGAGGAAACAGTATGGGCTGTAGGCTCTGAGTCTGAGGAGTTGACTGCCTGGTTGCATCTCTAACCCGGGCCTGGCTGCATCATTCAATGAGTGTTTATTGAATATCATTTAAGAATAAGACTTACATATACGGGGCAACAAGACAACTCTATGGTTGTCTGGGGGATGGAGTATTTGGGGCAGGAGTGCTGAGGAGACGAAGGCCAAGGTGAGCTGCTTTCAGGAAGCAATGAGGCTTCAGTGAGAGATCTGCTCCTCAGCACAGTGGGTGCCCACAGGCACAGTGGTAAGGAGAGCTCTCACTGGGACCTACAATGTGCCTGGCACTATGCTAGTGCATCCCAGTTATCTCTTCGAACCCTCACTGCAGCTCAGTGATGAGGGGGTAACTGTATGTTTTATAGATTGGAAACTGAGGTCATACCAGTAATTGATTGTGAAATCAAAATTCAAAGCCAGTCTTACCTGGCTTACAGGCCATTCTCTTTCCACCAGGCCACACAGAAAATAAGGTCAGTGAGTTCTTTGAGGTGGTGCTCGAAAGCCAGATGAAACAGGTCATGTGCTAAGGAGGAAAAGGAGGGTGTTCATTGACAGTTCTGTCTTCCTGCTGTGCCGTGCCCTGAGGCCAGAGTTCCAAGTGATACACAGGGAATTTGGAGGGCTCTTTGGTCAAGACATGCTGTACCTCCCCCAGATCTCCATCAATTTTCCCACCATAGTGGACTGCAATGGCCATCCTGAAAGGAAATTCCATGGCCATATTTTCCTGACTTCCTTAAATCCTAAATCTGTGAGAAGCCATAAGATGCTAGTCTCCATGGTTTCTCTCATTTAGCCCCAGTGCTGGCCTTTTTAGAGTTCCTAAGAACTACAAGAATCTCAAAGTCACCTCAAAACCAAATCATCCCAGTCTTGGAGGTGGCATCTTACCACCCGAACATCCAAATATGAAATGACATGCTTGCAAAGGTCTCTTTACCATTAGTTTTCTCACCAGATCTTCCCGGAGTTGGAGAACAATGATGAGAGAAGTATATGCACTCTCTACCACCCTAGAGGACCAAGGGTTATTCCCTGCCCTCTGTCCTCTCTTCCTCTCTGAGTTAGGAAACACTGGTCCCTAGTGAGGCCAGATGCAGGAAGGGAAAGATGAAGGCCCCCCCTCCTGGAGAGCAGGGAACTGGTAATGCCACAGCCAAAGAGGAAATCCTTGAGTTCATAAAGATAACCTCGGTTTATCAATGACAAAACACTTCCAGAATCACTTTATTTGAGACTCTCAGAATAGTTAGGCAGGTTTTAACATTATCACTTGCCCTCCAATCCCAGCTCCTGCCCCTTTTTTTCAGTACTGGGGACTGAACCCAGCTATTTCTTTTAGGCAGGGTTTTGCTAAATTACTCAGGCTAGGCCTGAAGTTGCAACCTTTCTGTCTAAGTCTTCCAGAGTGCTGGGACTACAGGGATGTCCCTCCACATCCAGTCTTGTTTTTTAACAACTGAACAAAGCCAGGCCCCTAGGACAGAAGTGACTCCTTAAGGTCATAGAGTTAATACTTGCACGTAGGCCCTCTCTGCCAAAGTCTGTGCTCTCTGCTCTCTGGCCTGTCCAATCAGGAATCCTGCTTTGGAAAAAAATGTTTAATGTCATTCCCTCTGACCATTAATGGTCATTTCATTATGATGGAAGCCTAATGGTCATTCCCTATGATGTTATCTTCCAAAAATAGAGATTTAACCACATCTAGTTTTATTTCATAATCTGCTATGAATCCTCTAACAATACAAATCTTCCCCTTGTAATGTTTGATTTTGGTCACCACAAACTTGGAAAGTAGTAAGTTCTATATGATTACTATTCCTGTGTAAAAAAGTGCTATTTTTACCTGGCCCTAAAACTATTCCTTTAAAAAAGATAAAGTTATCCTTAGTTCTTATGCTCTGGGATTTAATAAGTTCATTTTTATCCCATGATTTTCATTATTTTTTAAATTTCAATCATATTTCTCTTTCAGCCTGTGTCTTTCTAGAATGAAGAGCCCTAATTCTTTTATCATCCCTCAGCAGAAAAAAAGGCTTTCTATCTTCTTGATCAAATGAGTTGTCCTTCTCTAGACCTTGTCTGGCTCTGCATGTCTTTGAAGTACATCAGATCACCAGGCCCCCGTCACTTTATCTATTATTCTGTATAAAAGGGCAGGATGACTTCAACTCAATTGTAAAAATATTTGAGAGACATTTTAAAAATCAAACAGTTCTATCACTGTGTCAGCCTAGCATAGGCTGAAAGAAATATACATTTTTGCTTCAACTCCAAAATAAATTTAAACACACTAGCACAACCTTGTAATCTATTATGAAAATGACAATGTGCAAAGCACTTTCGTGTCTCATCATTTCTACCAGCAAGATACAAAAACATACTATTTCTCTTATATTTCACAACAGAAAAAGTAAAAAGATGAGTGTAGCCCAAGATCAAAGAGCTGAAGCTGGGCGTGATGGCATGTCTGAACACCAGCACTAAGGAAGCTGAGACAGGAAGATCATAAGTTTGAGACCAACCTGAGCTACATAGAGAGTTCAAGTCCAGCCTGGATTATATAGTGAGACATTGTCTCAAAAACCAAAGCAAAAAAAAAAAAAGAAAAACCAGAGCTGGAATTAGAGCCCCAGTACCTGGCCCTCCAGTGAGAGGATGGTGCTTTTACCACAGAACAGCACAACCTTCCTTGTAACTGTATGTTATTTACTTTAAATCCCAAACTGCACCTTCTCTAAATCTCCTTTGGTGATCCATACGAGGACAGCCATGAAATTCTCAATAGCTCTATTAGAAAGAAACATTGTTATGGCTGGTCTGTACTCTCTTCCTGTCTCTTTCTGCACTCTCCATGGCTAATCTCAGCCAAACCATAAATGACTGCCAGATTTGATTTGTGTTTCTAGGCTACACCTCTCTTTGGAACACCAAATACTTACTTGACCTCTCTTAGATACCTCACTATGTACAAAACTTACTCTTCTTCTGCGCTAATATACCCCTTCCCACTGCCAAAACCCAATTTCCTCGATTTTCTTCCTCCCAAACACATGTTCAGAAAGCTAGGAGGCACTTTGACATTTCCCTCTCTTTTTCTGCCCCCTCCACATGTCCAGTCTAACATCAAGTCCTTTTGCTTCTCCCTCTTTCACAACTCTCCTTTCTTTCCATTTCCCTCCTTCCCCTGCCCTCATTACCATCCTACTCTAAGCTACAAGGATCTCTCATTTGGACTTGAATGGATCCCTCACTGGTCTATTCATTTCCTATTTTTTTCTCTCCATTGCTGGGGAGATTCTTCCAAAATGCCATCCTGGTGATGTCACCCGTTCCCCACTCATGCTTAGAACACTTCAGGGGCTTTCCAGGTAAAGTCAAAACTCGCACAACTTGCCTACAAATCCCTGCCTAATCCAGGCCCCACCTTCAGCCTCATCTTAAAACACTTGCCTTAATTTCTAGAGCTGCAGCCCCACTAGCCCTTCTTAGTTTCTTTTACTCACCATGTTTTCATTAGCCAGAGTCCTGTAATGTTCCTCTCTTTCTGCCCTAAATTCCCAGACGCTTCCTCAGGTAGAGGTTTGAGAAGCAATCTGCAGAGAGATCTTCTTGACCTCCCTGAACTGAGACCCCCATTTTACCTTACTTGGACCTGTGGTTCAGCATGGTTCTGTGCCTCTGATTAATGTCTGTCTCCCGCTAGATTTGTAGCTTTTGCTCACCATTGTATTCTGGATGTGCATGTGAATAAGCTCACTAGTACATCCTCACTACAGAACACCAAGTGGCTGATAAAGAACAAGGAAGTACTCTATATTTACTAATATGAATGATGTCCATGATACATTATTGATTAAAAATAGCACATTAAGAGTAGGGATCTAGCTAGCTCAGTGGTACAGTGCATGCTTACTTAGCATTTGTGAGGCCCTGGGTTCAATTCCTAGCACTGCAATAAACCAAACAAACCAAGAACAACATAGACTATTTTTAAATCATATATATATACATTACTTTTTTAAAAACTGTGTGTTCTGCAAGGCTACACCAGACTGCTTATTGGGGTTTCCTTGGAGAATGGGAATGAGACAGTATAGAAAAAAACAGTATAATAACAATTTCTTCTTCTAGGTGGCTTGACTTCACAATAACCATGTAATATTATTGTACTTATATTAACAATGCCATTTTTAAAATAATGATACAATTCACTAAAGCTCAGGAAACTGACCACTTTTAAATACAGTCAAAACCAGAAAAAAAAAATTTATTCTTCAACAATGATAAAATTCTAGAAACCAGGGGGTATTCAATTCAGATCTCCAATTTAGCAATAATCTCTGAAGATAAAGAGAACAACTAGAAATGCCAGAGTTCATTTAAGTCTTCTGCTTGACTTTATGAATAAAAAAGATGTTGAAAAATCACTGCTCTTTAATCCTCTTATGCAATCTTACAAGGAAAAATAAAATAACAGCATGAATTTTTCTTAGTTTATGTACATTTTCTTATTAACTACAGGTGAGTGTATAAAGCACCCCTGTTTCCTTTCACTTGTCAAATAACAAAGATTTTGTCTTTACCATAGCTCAAGCAGAAAAGATAGTTTTCTAAATTAGTGAGAATTACCGAGGAAGGAGCAGAGTCAAATACACTGGTGAGGTGGTGACGGGTTCATTCCATGACTGAGGGCAGAAGTGTTCTCTCATCACTGTGGTTGTTGAGAGAAGGGTGCAGGTGGGAAGCCCCACGGTTACTGAAAAAGGAGAACCAGGTGTGTGGGTGTGATTTCTCCAGCAGGCAGCCTGCAAGGAAGAGCTGGGAAAAGTCTGTGAATATAGAATAAATACTGTCACTGGGAGCTGCATTGATTCTTTTTTCAGGCTAATGGCTCAGATGGTAGAACCACCAAACAATGACTAAGATATGAGTCAAATGCTTTCAAATCAAAATCACTCCAATGAAGCAGTAAGACAGGCAAACAGAGAACAGGTCATTAGGGGTTCTAACCAATACTTGCTAAATGTGGAGAAATTCACTCTCCTTAATGATTGCCTTTTTCCATCTAAGTCATTCTGACATTAGTGAACTAGGGACATTCCATCTTTATTGCTTGTGACACCTCTGGATCAGCTCTGCACAGTGAAGGCAGCTTTTGGCTAGGTTCACATGCTTGCCTTGATCCTGATTTGTCTTCATTCTCTCTCAGGGTCCATCCAGCATGTCTTCAGTGATGCCAATGGGTGTCAAGTAATTTTTAAATTATGCACCCTCAAAATTGAGTTTCTGAGATTTTTTGAAAACTTTCATTTAAATATTAAAATAGCTTCTATAAAGATGAAGTGGAGCTGGGAGAGGGGAGCAGAGGAAAAGCATATTAAAGGAGTCACAGGGAAGCTCCCAGAAGGCTTCACCCACCAGTTGAGACACAGAAGAGGCAGCAGCTTGTCCTATGGCCCATGTGGAAATACCACATGGGCCCACAAAAGACTCGTGAATGATTTCCCTGACATTTTTCCCCTCTCCACCCCATGCTATTTTGTTTCAAGTTCTTTCCCCAAATGTTCATCCATTTTTTTTCTGTGTGTGTGTGTGTGTGTGTGTGTGTGTGTGTGTGTTTCTGTGTTTCTGTGACAGGGTCTTGCTATGTAGTTCAGGCTGGTCTTGAACTCACTATGTAGCTCAGGCTGGCCTTGAACTTGTGGTGATCCTCCTACCTCAGTCTCCCAAGTGCTGGGATTACAGGTGTGTACCACCATGCCTGGCAAATGTTCACTTATTTTATAATTCTGTTCTTTTAAAAAAAAATCTTCTCACGAAGAGATTCTGAGACAGGTATTTTTACCTATCAGAAAACTAAGCCTTTTAGCACATTTATTGGAAAAGGATCTCATAAAGAATAAACAGAAATATCTACATCCCTCCTGAATCAGACGTGTTTTTATTCCAGCCCCACCTTCTCCTTTTTTGACTATTATCAGCCCTGCAGTAAGAGGAATAGAGTACAGATGGGCCTCCAACTCACAATGAGATTATGCCTCCATAAACCCATCACAAGTTGAAAATACTATAAGTCAAAAATGCATCTAATACAACTAACCTACCAAACATCACAGCTTACAAGAATACACTGTACAGCAGCTGTCCACAACCTTCTTGGCACCAGGGACTGGTTTCATGGAAAACAATTTTTTCATGGACAGGGTGGGAGTAGGAGTTGGAATTGAGGGGTTAGGGATGGGAAGTGGGGTTTCAGGATGATTCAAGCACATTGCATTTACTGTGCATTTTATTTCTAACATTATTACATTATAATACATAATGAAATAATTATACAACTCACCATAATGTAGAATTGCTAGCCACTCACTGACAGGGTTTTGATATTGAGTCTAGGAACAGTTGATTTATCATAGTCTCTGTGCAAACCTCTCTGCTGTTAATGTGCACTTGCAACCACTCCTCAGTACCAGCATCACCACCTCAGATCATCAGGAATAAGATTTTCATAAAAAGCACAAAACCTAGATCCCTCAAATACGCAGTTCACAGTAGGTCCATGCTCCAATGAGAATCTAATGTTGATCTGACAGGAAGCAGAGCTCAGGTGGTTATGCGAAGGGCTGTAAATACGGATAAGGATTGGCTTCCTTGTCCAACACTTCCTTCCTGCTGTGCAGTCCAGTCCCTAAAAGGCCAAAGACCAGTAGTGCTCTGTGGTTTGGGGAGCCCTGCTGTAGAGTATCCATTATTTAATCATTTGAAACAAGTGACTCTGACTCGTAGCTGCACTTTGTAACTCAGGCAGGAAGAGACCAAAATTCAAAGGTTTCTTTTATAGAATGCGTATCACTTTGATACAATCAAAAAGTGGGAAGATTCTAAGTCAAAACACCATAAATCATGGGCCAGCACCCAGCAGAAGTGTAGGGCCCACAGACCAGGGACCAGATTGGGGACTGGAGCTTCCTCCAATCTAAACCCAGCACTGTACACACACTCTCTGTTTCCCTTCCTATATCCATTCCCTTAAAAGTAAGGGTAGGGCCGGGGATTTAGCTCAGTGGTGCTGCCGCCTGCCCTGCAAGCACAAGGACCTGAGTTCGATCTCCGGTATCAAAAAAAAAGTGAGGTTAACATATTTGTTAAATGTTTGTAATTGTGGCAAAATACACATAAAATTTACCATTTTATGTTATCCTTTCTTCATTGTAACTTTTTAAAGTATATAGTTCAATAGCATTAAGTGCACTCCCACTCTAGTGCAATCATCACCATTATCTACCTTCATAACGTTTTTATCTTCTCAAAGTGAAACTGAATAGCCATGAAATAACTCCCATTCCCCCTCGTCCCCTGGTAACCACCATTATACTTTCTGCTTCTATGAATCTGACTATTCCAGGTATTCATGGAATCATAGACTATTTGCCTTTTTTTAGTCTGGCTTATTTCACACAGAATATCCTCAAGATTCATCCATGTTGCAGCATATGTTAGAATTTTATTCCTTTTAAAGGTTGAACAATATTCCACTGTATAGACATACCATATTCATCCATTCACCTGTCAGTGGATATCTAGGTTACTTGCAGTACACTATTTTTTACTTAATTCCACAATTTAAGACTTGCATGCAATTTAAATTCAGTTCAATTTATTGAGTATTTACCAAGAGTAACTCACTGTGGTAGGGGTATGAAAATTCACAAAAGTGAATGAAACACAGTAGCTGCTCTCAAGGAATTTACAATACCCTGGGCAAGGAAAGAAGTGAAACCAGTATTTGCTGAGCACTTACTAACTGCCAGGTACTTAATCCAATCACTGCATGTACTGCTCACAACTTTATGAGGTTAATATTCTAAAGAGCTTCACAGTGAGAAAAATGAATGTGTAGATCTTTTAAGTAACCACCTCAGGTGAGGCTGAGATTCAAACTCACATCTTGAATTAGATGTATTCATTGCGCTCATTCCACTGCACATGCTGCTCCCTGTGATACAAGTTAGATGGTGACCAATCTGGGGGGAGAAACTACAGAAGTAGAAGAGGAAAAGAAGAGATATGACTCTGAGGATTAAGGAACATGGGGAATGCAGGCTTTAGAGGTCAGGAAGCCCTGTGGTTGATGGAGATGAAGGTAGAGGAAACTTCATGAGCAGAGAAAAATGAGGAAAACAGGGCCATTCTTAGGACTGGTGGCATTGGGGACCATGATGCTAGAAAGTAGAGAGGAGAAAAATCATCATCACAATGCAGTGCTGGCTCAAGGGGTCTGAACTCCACTGTGTAGGCACTGGTGAGCCATTGTAGGTTTTCTAAGACAAGATATAATCAGGGCTAGGGTTTGGGAAGATCACCATGGCAATAATGTATAACAAGGATGGAGCAGATGGGGGTCATTTAAAGATAGGAAAACCAATTAGGTAGTCACTGGAGACAGCAGATGAGACACAGGCAGAATAGAGGACATGGAGGTAAGGGATATCTTAGTAGTGGGAATGACAGACAAGCCGATTGATGCATTTTGAATAAGGTGACATTCTAGTTTGCCTTGGACATATTTTCTTGCTGTAATTACTAATGACACATTTACTCTGAAAAAAAGTCCAACTTTAGATAATAACCTCTATTAATCAATTAATTATAAGCAATAAGGAAACAGAACCAAAGGTGACTGCAATACTGTAATATTTTCTTCTTTTTTTTTTTCTTTCATAAGACAAGATCTTCCTATGTAGTTAAGACTGGCCTTGACCTCACTGTGTAGCCCAAGCTGGCCTCTAACTCAAGGCAATCCTCCTGCCTAAACCTCCAGAGTGCTGGGATTACAGGCATGCGCCACCCCGCCCAGCTGGTGACTGTAAGATTTTAAACCTGAGTTAGGAAGAAAGTTGATAACACCTTTAAAAACACAGAGGGGAAATCAGGTTTGGGGGAAAGATGATGAGTTTGGATTTGGACATGCTGAATTTGCTGTTGAGGTGAGGATTTATTTGAGAGAGAGTAGCACCTTTCCTGTGGATTTGCGCTGTAGAACATGAAGGAAAGCATCACTGACCTAAAAAAAAAAAATACAAAGAAGATATGGTCAGACTTGGCATATATGTATATTTCAACAAATTTTTGTTGATGGTTGAATTATTAAAATAACTAAAGTATAGCATATGTCATCAATGAATTGTACGTAACTATGCCATACTGACTAAATAACCAATCACCACAAATGTAAAGGAAAACAATATTTAAAAATAACCCAGCTTCAGAACTTTTCCCTACATAACCCTTTGATTTTCAATGTTGTCAATGTTGTTGCCAGCAAGTAAAAAATCCATAGACCAGTCCTGATTCTATTACGATAATTCTGTTCCAGCCATTCTACTTTACAAGTGTTCTAGCTTTTTAAAGAATGGAGGCTCTAGCAGAAGAATCAACATTTTAATTTTATATGACTTTTATTTTTTTATTAAAATTGTCCTATTTCCTAATCAACTGAAATTATAATCTATCAAAAATTCTTTTTCAGAAATGCAAGGTTATAAAACAAATTAAAAAGTGCCCACAATAATCAAGGCAGTGTAATATTGATGAAAAAATAGAAGAATAGATAAATGGAACAAAACAGAAAGCTCAAAAATAGACCCACACAAATGTAGTCAACCAATCTTTAACAGAAGATTAAAAGCAACTCAATGGAAAAAAGATAGTCTTTTCAACTAACGGTGTTGGAAAAATTGGATATCCATGTGCAAAAAAACTGTTATCTAGGGACAGGCCCTTCACAAAAATCACCTCAAAAAAGACTGTAGACCTAAATGTAAAGTGCAACACTATAAAACTTTCAGAAGAAAACAGAAAAAAAAAAAATCTAGGTCACCTTGGGTTCGACAATGAGTTTTTGGACACAGCACCAATAGCATAATCCATGGGGGGCAAATTTGCAATTTGACTTCATTAAAATTAAAAACTTCTACTCTGCAAAAGACATTGTTAAAAGAATGAAAAGACAAGCCATAGCCAGAGAGGAAATCTTTGCAAAACACATATAAAATGCTTCTAACTCCGTATACACAGGAAATTCTTAAAACTCAACCATAAGAAAACAACTCAACCAAAATTCACACAAAAGATTCAAAAAGACACCTCACCAAGGAAGACACACAGATGGTAAATAAACATAAAAAGACTCTCGATGTAATCTGTCATTAATGAACAGAAAATTAAAACAATGAGATATTATGACCTACCTCTTAGAATGACTAAGATCCAAAATGTGAACACCAAATGGTGGCGAGGATGTAAAACAAAAGGAACCCTCACTAATTTCTAGTGGAAATACAAAATGATATGGCCCCTTTGGAAGACAGCTCAACAGTTTCTTACAAAATTAAACACACCCTTACCAAACAATCCAGCAATCACAGTCACAGGTATTTAGCCACATTAATTGAAAACTTATGTCCACACAAAAACATGGGCATAAATGTTTACAGCAGCTTGAGTCACAACTGCCAAAACTTGAGAGGAAACAAAATCAATACATTTGAGATTTGAAAAGCTATTCTACGATTCATCTAAAAGGATAAAGATCCACAAATACCTATACATGAATCAAATCTGAAAAGGAAGACAAGAGTTACCCTTCCACATACCAAAATATACTTAAGGGCTGGGGATTTAGCTCAGTGGTTCCGCCACCTGCCTCGAAAGCGCAAGGTCCCAAGTTTGATCCCCAGTACCAAAAAAAAATAAAATAAATAAATAAATACTTAAAACTGAAAACTAGATTACTATAAAGAAGAAAACTAAAATTAGTTACCTGATTCATACCCAATACAAAGATGACTTCAGATATATTAAATTTGATATAAAATTATAAAGGTAGCTGGGTTTGACAAGCCACACTTATAGTCCCAGCCACTTGGGAGGATGAGTCGGAGTGAACACTTGAACCCAAGTTTGAAACCAGCCTGAGCAACACATAAGACCCCATTACAAGAATAACAACAACAAAACTATAACATTAACAGAGAAGGACATCATTGTGACCCAGGTATAATGAAGAGTTTCTGAAACAAGTCTCTGAATAGTGTAACCATAAGGCAAAATACTGCTGTGCTTGATTACATTAAACCTAGCAAAAATGGCCATAATGTGACATAGTTGGTGGAGGTCTTTTGCAAAGTCTCAAACTAACATCAACAACCTGGCTACTCAAAAAACCACAGGCTTCTGCACTACCAAGAGCTGCTTAGGAATACATGATCTTAAGCCCCTACCCTCATTGAATCATAATCTGAACCTTGACAAGACCAGGTGATTTGTATGCACCTCAAAGTTTGAGAAGCACAGATTACACAAGAAACTTTTGCAAATTAATAAGAAAAAGACAGGACCCCAACTAGAAAACTACATAAGGAGGATTCAATTATAAGTTCAAAGCATTGTAAACCTGAATGGCTACCAAAAATATATCTGTATAGGGGAAGTGGGAGGAGTAGGGGAAAGGAAAGAAGGGAAAGGAATAAATATAAGAAAAGGAAAAAATGGAAACAAAGTCTTTGTAAATAGGGAGGGATGGAGGGGATGAAGGGAGGGCAGGGGGATGGGGAAAAAATAAGGATCGAGATAGATCCTGTAAAGGTACAAATCTCTAATGATGAATGTCATTATACTGTATACCTAAAATGTACCAATAAAATTAAATATATATATTTATATAATTGTCAATTAATTTTTTTTTTAAACTGAGGATTGAATCCAGGGCCTCACACATGCTGGCAGGTACTCTATCTACCACTGTGCTATATTCCCAGACAGCTAGAAAATATGTAAAAAGATGCTTAAATTCATAAGAAACCAGGGAAATTCAAATTAGAGTAATAAGATGCTACTTTATGTCTTATCATTTGGGCAAAAATTAGAAAGTTGTCAAGAGTGGCAAATAAGAATACTCATGAAGGGCCGGGGATTTAGCTCAGTGGTTTCGCCGCCTGCTGCGCAAGCGCAAGGACCCGAGTTTGATCCCCGGTACCAAAAAAAAAAAAAAAGAATTCTCATGCATTGCTGGTAGGGACATAAATTGATCAAGTCATCCTGGAGAGCACCTGGCAATCAAAGTAAGTATACATATTTCTTATGACCCAACTATTCTACTCCCCCAAAGCAATACTTGCACAAGTCCCTAAGAAGGTGTTTATCACCATAGTGATCGTGCTGGTAATAGAATCAAGTCAAAGTCGAAGTTGACCAATAGGGAATGCATCTGTAAACTATGGTATATGTGCACCACATATGACCATGCATCAGTAGGAGGCAATCAAGTAGATACAGAAATAGCAGAGATTTTTAAAAACAGAACTGAGTGAAGAATTAAGAAACACAGCAAGGTCAAGAGCATACCACCAATTTTTAACTTAAAAAATAGACTAGCAGATAAAATAATTCTGTGAGTTTTACAAGGAAATCTGAATCCAAAGATATGTATCAAACATGTCACAGATACTGGCTCAGAAAGGAGGAAAAGAGTGAGGAGAGGTAGTGGGCAATGAGGCTAAAGGGAATATCAGTCACATTCATAATAAGACAGGCATAGAAGCAAAAGGTGGGCCTGGAATAGTCCAACATTGAGAATGTGCTTTGAAATGAGGATTATGCCTAAGGCACCCTTCTGATCTGAGATCCTCCAAAAAGGTGCATCAAAAATAAAGTGAAAGAAGCAGAGAAATAAATCAATCATGGCACTGTCTCTGCAGCATGAAATCTTGGTTTCAAAAACATCCACATTGAGGACTTGTGCCTTACAGAGATTTTTCCAACCTAAGCAAATTTAGACTCACTCTGTGGAGGTGGTAGAAGTCTAAGACAGATGTTTGGAGCACTCCCCCTGCAACCCCGGCTCCCTATCCACATCGATTATCTCCAGGTGATTCACAGCTGTATCACTCACTGTCTCTGACAGCTGGAAGTTGCTTATTCCTAAAGAATTGCTGTAGCCTAACAGTAGAAAATACTACGTATTATTCAAGATAATGATACTTTTTCATCTAGCATCCTAGGAAAATGAATGATGCTCAACAGATAAATGTTAACATGAAAAGAAAGGCTGCCTCTCAGTGCTACAGCTTTAACTATTCTGGATATAAATCTTTATTAACATATATCACTTATTTACTGGGCTTCCTTACATGATAATACTATGAGGAAAGTATAATCTTTTTTGTTCCATGGCTTAAGAATCTCCTAATTCTGAACATCTATTTTCTGACCTTCTGTTTTTCAGATGTTCTGTCACCTCTCTATGTCCAGCTGCCACTCCTACTGTGAGTGTATCTGGTTCTAAAAATAACTCTGTCCCTTTCTACCTGCTGGCTTCTGTTTGAGTTGAGAAAACAGAGAACCAGAGGTGTGAAGGGCTGGAAGATTAGGAAGAGTGACAAGGCTCCAGGGGACACTTTCCCCCTGTATTTTACAGGCTGCATTACAGAGAGGGAGGCTGCACCATGCTGATGCCTAGATAAAGGCTGTTCACAGCACCCTGTTCTCTGCCTTCAGGTAGATGAAGCCGTAATTAAATTTTGTCTCTAGAGATATGCAACCTGGAGTTTGAGGCAGGAAAAGGATATTACTTTTAAAGCTGGGGATGTTGCTCATGGGTAAAGCCCTTATTTAGCCTGTGTGAGACCCTGGGCTCAATCCCAAGTACCACTGAAAGGGAAAAAAGCACAGTAGAAGGAAATACATCAGCACTGTAATGAGATTGTGATTGGGTAACAAAAATATTGCTTTTGTTTTAGGATGTGAAGGTTCTGCTATTGGAATTTTTAATTAGCTCATCAAGCAGGAATAATCAGAGTAATTATAGTTTCCCTAAATATATCATGCTGATTCATGCTTCCCATTAGAAATTGGCTCTTTGCCTATCATACACTATCCTGAAATCTTTTCAACCAAAAAATAAACTCCCTGAGGGCAGCACTAAGTCTTACTTGTTTTTTTCTTGGTACTAGTGATGGAACTTGGGACCTTGTGCTTTCAAGGCAGGTGGCAGCACCACTGAGCTAAATCCCTGGCCCTCATCAGATCATTACTTTGATACAAGGTGATCTGAATCTTCTTTTAAAAGTCAATCAATGCATTTCATGAAAAAAGAGGTACAGATGGCAAATGAGCATACAAAGATACTCAAGATGATTGTTCATTAGGGGAATGCAAATTAAAACCCCAATCAGACATCACTGCACACCTAACAGAATGGCTAAATTTAAATAAAACAATTGACAAAACTAAATTCTTTTTTTGGACAATACTAAATTCTGACAGATGCATAACCTTGCACCATCAGACATTGTTGATAAGAATCCACAATGTGGTTGTGGTAAGGCCATACAATGAAGTACTATTCACCAATAAAAAGGAAGAGAATATTGACACATTGGACAACCTGGATGAACCTAATAAGCATTATGCAAAGTAAAAGAAGCCAGACTCAAAAGGCTATGAACTTCATGGTTCTATTTATGTGGCATTCTGAAAACGGCAAAATTGCAGGAGAAAAAAACAGATCAGTGATTGCCAAGGGTTGTGGAGTAAGAAAAGGAGACAGATTACAAATGGACATTAGAGAATCTTCTGGAGTGATAGAAACATCTGCATATCTTGAGTGTGGTAGGTGGCTACATGACTGTATTCCTTTGTCAAAACTCAAGAGAACTGGTCGAGGACAGAGCTGCCTGTAGTCTCAGCTACTGAGGAGGCTGTGACAGGAAGACAGCTTGAGCCCCTGATTTTAAGACCAGACTGGACAACATAGTTTCAAAAAATAAAAAACAAGGCTGGGAATGTAGCTCAGTGGTAGAGGACACCCACGCGTGAGGCCTTGGATGAATCCTCAGCACCACCAGCACAGAAGGAAGAAAGGGAGGGAGGGAAGGAAGGAGAAAGGGACAGATGCAGGCAGGCAGGCTGCCAAGCAAGCAAGAAAGGAAAAGAAACAGAATTATACGTCTAAAGAGTGAGTTTTAGAGCCGGGGATTTCCCTCCGTGGCTCTGCACCTGCTTTGCAAGTGCAAGGCCCTGAGTTTGATCCCTGGTACTGGGGGGAAAATAAAGAGTGAGTTTTACAATATGTAAATTATATGTCAATAAAATTTGACTTGAAAAGAAGTCAAGCAATGTATTCTCAACACAAAAATAAATCTTTGAAGTTAAATATCAGCTTGGGTTCCACAGGAAATAAAGCTTAACCAAAACTTAGGCCCTAATACTTCATTAGGGGCATTAGGGTTGCAGTCCCAGGGAAGCAAGGAGGGAAACAGGGAAGTAGGTCAAGGAAAGGAAAATAGAAACTATAGGTGGTGACTGACCCCGAAGTGGTTGTAGCTTCTGAGGGACATGCAGCTGGGTGTTGCTCACCTGAGATCTCCACCAAGAGGTCATATGAAACAGTCAACTGGGAAGACAAAGGTGAGCGATTTAACCTCGTGTCATTCATCCATCAAAGCTTGACAATGGGGTGAAAACCCCACATTTCTGGACTGCCTTACCCAGCCCCTACCTACAGTTTCTGGGGAAGCCAGAGGCTTCAACAAGTTCATTCAAATCAAACCTCTGCAGCACCGATGTAGCAGCTCCTGCCTGACCAGCCCAGCAGAGGCCTTGCCCCTAAGATCAGCTCCCACCCCAAGAAAGCAGGAGGCAGTCAGTGGGGAAGGAGACAGAGGCCTGGGCTGCAGATGCCATTCTCAGAGAAGTGCTACAAGCAGCCATGTGGCCAGGTCTGGGACAGGAAAGACCAGGAATTCCACAAACTGGGTCTGGAAAAGGGGGCTATAATTAATGCACCATCTGAACAAAAAGAGTAATTTCAGTTTTGAGAATATTCCACAGATACACAGAGGAAACTTAAGGCAAATAGTTTCTATCCACTAAATCTGTTGTGTGCTGATCTCACCTGATCTTTATATAATAAACAAGTTCAGATCTGTGAGATTGAGTACTGTCTCACATCAAGATGTGTGTGGGCAGCTTCATACAGAAAATAAATTCTGCACATCTAAAAATGCCATCCTCTGAACAGATATCACAGGGCCAATTCATGATTCACTCATCACAGCACAGATACAACCCTTCAGAAAACAATCAATTCTAGTTAGAATTCAAAATCTGTAGACTACTATTCTAATCCTGCCCTCTAAGACTCAATGTAAAGGTGTTACAGTTCAAGAGGATAGAAAAAGCTCAATTCTGTGTCTTATAATAATAATATACATTAAAAGTTACTAACTTGACTATGTCCTTTCACACATATTATCTTGTTTAATCCTTATACCCACCCTAGGAGGTAACTACTGCCCCATTACAGATGAAGACCAAGGAATAAAGATGTATAATTTCCCCACAGCCAGCATCTAAACTCTGGTGGTCTGACCTCAGAGCACCCCATTCTTAATCACTCAACAGATATGTGTATGCTTGGCAGAACCTGGCAATGTAGAGGTATGAACATCACATGGCCCCTGCCTGCACGATGCAGTGTGGGAAAGTCTGGCATTGAACAAGTAATTACAAGTAAATGAAAGAGAAACAGGGTGCTATGGAAGTTCAGGATAGGCTCTGCAAAGTTTATGGTCACATTAATAAGAACTATCAAGATCAAATTTGTCAAATCACATATTCAGGAGAAAAATACAAGCTAGGGAAAAATAGGAGCTAGGGAGCTCATGATACTATATATATTTTATGAATTCAGTGGTTATTTTCCAAGCACAAAATGGTCTGAAAATAATTTGTTCTAATATGTTAACTAATTTACTTTAAAAATATTACCTAGGCTTTACAGTTCAATGAAATGAATTATATATTTATTCAGCCACATTCATTTTCAAAGAACAAAATATGTGAATTCTTGTATTTCTCACAAAACAGAAGAGTTCGGGTCATTTTAATTACAAGATAGTTCTTTCACATAGATAATTCTGTGATAGATGGAAAAACCACATACTAGGCAATAAGGTTTGTGAGAAGTTACTTCTTAGTTTGACAGAGCCAGGAGGAGCTAGATTCTGGTATGAGACCAACCAGGCCTGGATGCCAGCTCTGACACTTACTACATAGCATTAGGCAGCTTGTATAAGTGATTCCTTCATCTGTAAAATGGCATAAAAATGCCTTAAAACTCAGAGTTATCTGAAGGTTAAATGAGATAATGCATGTAAAGTGCTTAGCATATTGTTATTCCTGGAAATAGTTTGCATATTGAAAGAAACAGAAAGAGAAGATAATAGATGGATGGTGTGCAAAAGAGATGCTTGAAACGGATAAGGAGCTTGGCTCCAAAAGCCACTTGATAACACAAAAGTCAGCAGAGTAGGAAGAACAATAAAAATCCCATATTCAGAGCCCCCACTAGAAAACAGTGGGGCAAATGGGAGCTGACAAGAAGTTAGTAATTATACAATTAATTCTTATTTTATAGGAGAGAGAACTTTAAGGTGGACACTACAACAATAATCCCACTCTGGCTCTGTTTCACACTTGTTATAGTTTCTACCTAGATGTCCCCCCAGAACCTCATGCGCACATCGGTGGGGCTTTGGGAGGTGACTGGATCATGGGTACACTGGGAGGTGCAACCTGGTCTGAGGAGGAGGGCACTGGGAGCGTGGCCTGGAAGGGTCTATTTCCCTCCCTCCTCCTTTACTCTCCGTCTCTCTCCCTCTCCCTCTCTCACTGCTTCCTGCCTGGAAGCAGCATAAGCAATTCTCCTCTGCAATGCCCCTCTGCCTTGGAGCCAGCCAACTACAGACTGACACCTCTACAAACTGTGGGACAAAATAAACCTTTCCTCCTTTAAGTTGTTGGTGTTGGGTATTGTGTCTCAGCAGTGAGCAAGTAACTAAGTCAATGCCTGAGCAGCACCAAGAACATGTCAATGCAGAGAAAGGGCAAGTCAAACTAACACATGTCACTACTCATTACTCCTGCACTGCCTAATTGTCCTTTTCCTCTACCAACAGCTATAGCCTCAGGTAAAGCAAACCTCACCTTAGAAGTCACATTATGTTAAAGCCACAGGGCAAGATGGGTTCTAGAAACTAAGAGGTGGCTTCCAGGTAGAGTATTTAAGCTACAAATCTTTTTGAAAAAGAAAAGTGTGAACAAAAAAGTGATAATATATAGTTCCTCAGGGCTTAGCAGAGGTGAGGTTCCAAAGCCCAGCCGAGGCAGCACCCCCGGCAGTCTATCCCAGTCCACTCTACGTCCTCACTGTGGCTCCTGCACACTCCAAAAGCCACCAAAAATGTCCTGCCTCTTAATTCTAGAGTTGGAGAAACTGAAAGTCAGAAAAGTAAGGTCCACAAAACTACAGGGCAAAGGGGTCAATACTAGAACTAGAAACTGACCAGTTTTCTCTTCTTTTCAGTCATGCCAGTCATGTTCTTTTCAGCAATGCACACTATCTTCCTGACTTACACAAACAAAAAAGATAAAGAAGGAAATAACTGTGCTTGAAAAGGTTGTGCCTAATCACAGGGGAAAAACACCCCATAAAAATGGGCGGCTGATAGGCACTAAAGTCTGACACAGACAGCTTGAGCTCCACTCATCTGCATTTGAACAAAACACTACAGCTACCAAAACGGTTTTTTGAACATTAAAAGAAATTAAGCCAAAAATAATAATAAAGAATTCACAATGAATGCTTAAAGACCCACATTTACAGCTACATTGCATATGCATGCACACAATTACACTTTGGAAGAAGTTTAAACCACATTAATGAGACTGTGGAGGAATGAAAAAAAGGACTGAATAGCCAACAAAATTAACTACAGTGACTAATGGATGAATTATAGTCTCATGATGCCGGGCATGATTTAGCGTTCTGCTCACAGAACCTCAGCTTAGATCATCTGGTTGTACTTCAAAGCATCTATATTTGAAAATCAAAGGTCAAGTCAAGCCTTTCCTTCTTAGGCCTGAATGTTTTAGAGTTCAAGGTTCATATCAACAAGTGTAAATTATTTTCTAAAGTACCATAATTTTCCTCTACTTGAGATACCAGTGATATAGATAAGACCTCAAAACTGAGTTTCCCACCAGGCCTGAGTCAAGTGCCAGACAGCCCAGAAGAGTGGTGGAAACCCCATAACCCTGAACCTGTGAGACCCGCTATGCAGTGTTGCATTTTCAGATTATAAAAGGAGGATTTATAGTACATCCAGGAATAAATGAGCCAGTCATTTGGCACAGATTATTTCCTGGCTTGACCTGTACTACATTTCTTAAGCTAATCTCACCTCCTCCAGTTTAAACACCTTTCCGACATATGGCTGGATGCGCCCCTGGTGGTAGTACTGAAGTGCTGAGTGCAGGCTCTTGGAGAAGACAGGAAAGTTCTGGAGTTGGTATCGACCCCAATACAGGCCCAGGGCGGAGATGTTCTTCAGGAGCAGCAGGTTGGCAGGTACAGAAGCAATGTTTCCTCCAGCAAATCCCAACACCACAATCCTGCCCTCCCATGCCAGGCTGAGGGGCAAGAAGAAAAGCAAAGAAATTATAAGACATGGTGGACATCCAAACCCATTAAGATAGCTACTATTTTTAAAATGCAGAAAATAACAAAGTTAGGCAAGGATGTAAGAAACTGAAGCCCTCCTAAACTGCTGGTGCAACTGCTATGGAAAACAGTATGAAGCTTCCTCCAAATTTTAATATTTGCATGCCTGCTATATTCATAGCAGCATTAATGAAAATAGCCAAGAGGGAGAAACAAGCCAGGTAAACCTCAATGAATGAACAAATAAAGAAAATGTGGTTTATACATATAGTGGAATATGGGCCGGGGATTTAGCTCAGTGGTTCCATCGCCTGCCTTGCAAGCGCAAGGACCCGAGTTCGATCCCTGGTACCAAAAAAAAAAACAAAACAAAAAAAACATATAGTGGAATACCCTCCAACCTTAACAAGAAAGGACATTGTGTTACTTGCTAGAACATGGATATCCGTTAGGACATCAGGCTAAGTGAAATAAGCCAGACACAAAAAGAAAAATATTGTATGATTTCATTCATTTGCAGTATTTAAAGTAGTCAATTCATATAAACAGAAAGCAGAATAGTGCCTACCAGGGGCTGGAGGAGCTGGAGGGGGAAGGAGTTATTTTTTAATGGGTATAGGTTTTCAGATTTGCCAGATGAAAATTTTTGAAAGTCTATTACACAACAATGTGAATTTATTTAACATACTCAACTACACACATAAAAGAGGTTACAGTGGTAAATTTAATTTTATATGCTTTTAACCACAATAAAAAGGAAAATAATTTTAAAACCTCTTTACATTAATTCACAAAGGCAGAAAGTAAAAGAGAAATTACCAGGGGCTGGGAGAAGGGGAAAGAAGCAGTGACTGTTTAATGGGTAAAGTGTTTTTCTTGGGGATGGTTACGCAGCATTGTGAGCATATTTAGTGGCACTCAATTGTACACCATAAATAGTTAATATATCATAGGTTATATATATTTTCCATAATTATTTTTAAAAAGTAACATGTACTAAACCCATAGTTGGGAACCCCTATTGATGTTAGGACTGGGAGAAGTGAGCCATTCCTTACTACAATGAGTTCCTCAGAGGAAAATTTTAAAAATAAGCCATAAGCAAAGGATGACACAGGAACCTGCCAGTTTTAAAAAAGGACTCACTTTAGAATCAAGGACCTTGTGGAAGGAAATTGGATAAAAACAAGTGTCACCTCATGTTTTTTACAACTAGACAATTGAGCTTGAAGATTTTGAACTTAGGCGGCAGAAATAAGAACATAGACACTGGGATGAAAGATCACTGCATTCCACAGACTCGCTTTAGGACTCCTTTAAGTTCCAATACTTCTTTAGGGAATTATGAATAATATACAAAAACTTCACAAGTGTCCTATAGCCCGTTATGAAAAGTACCACACAGTGCACACTACATGAGTTATAAACATCTTTGACATATACGGAAAATTGTTTGAATTTCTGTGTGTGTGTGTGTGTGTGTGTGTGTGTGTGTGTGTGTGTGTCCTTTTCTTCTTCTGGAGGGAAATGAGAAGCTATTGTCAAAACCCAATCAATCCAGAAGCCAAAAGGAAAGCAAGAGAAGGGTGAGCTCATTTGGGCTGTGCACTCCTTCCCCTGCTCCTCTGAGCACGGTGCCAGGCTCTGCAGTGCTGATCAAACACATCACCTGCCTGACCCCCAGCTCAGGGGCTACAGAAGCAGCTGCATTCCTTCTGGTGGTAGGCTGCCCTCTCTGCTTCTGTTTCTTCTGCTTTCAACTGAGATAAGCCACAAAATGATGCTTGCCAGGATGACAAGAGAAATGAAACCAATACTCTCGGAGAACTCCAGAATCCCTGGTTGAAAACACAAGGAGAACTGGTCCGATACGACAATCCCACTAACTCTCCAGTGATACTTTTTTTTTTTTTTGTACCAGAGATCGAACTCAGGACCTTGTGCTTGCCCAGCAGGCACTGGAACCATTGAGCTAAATCCCCGGCCCAGTGATACATTTTTAATAAAACAAGTCAAGGAAATACACTGCTGGCTGCTTCAGAAACCAGTAAAATCAGAAGAGCCTATACCTTGGTGAAGTGAACCAGGGAAAGAGGAACTGCCACCCTAGTAACTCCAACACCTGAACAATGATCTCAAGAATCCCCCACATTCCATGTATATAAAGTAGTTAGTGGAGGCCGGCATAGCTGAATTTAACACATGATAATTTCTAAAGCACTTGCCATTGCCAACTAGCGTCTGTAGTCATTTTTTGGATATTTTCCAGTTGGATATTTTATTTTTGCTATATTTAAGCATTTCCTGATTTTCTCTGCTTCTATTCCTTGTCACACACCCACTCAGCTATTCTCGTTGGTACTGATGCTGACAGCAGAAGTGAAGAGTGGAGATGAGACAGAAGCAAGGCCCAGAGGACAACAGAGGTGCAGGAAGGTTGCGTGAAGCCCCAACCCGAGCCCACCACGGACAGACCACTGCACACACCTGCGAAGAGCCTCCAGGAAGATGTCTCCTCCCACCATGTCGATGGCCACGTTCACTCCACCACTGCCCACCAGCTGCTGCACTGCCTCCTTCAGGCTGCCCCGACTGTAGTTCACACTTAACTGTGCACCCCTCTGCATCGCCAGCTTGCATTTCTCATCACTTCCAGCTGCAGCTATTACCTGAATAAAGATCACAAGGGTTCTTAAGGTCAGGACAGATTCCAAGAGGGGGTCACCCCACCTATCCAGCCTCCAGCCAAAGTGCTACTTGAGGAATCCCATACGAGCTGTGGCCCAAGCATCAGCCTCAACCCCACACATCGGACCCAACTCACAGGCCAACCCACTGGTCCCTCCACACCCTACTGGCTAAAAGTTTCACATCTCTAGAAATCCTGGAACGCCACATGGTCTAGCTAGGAGATACTTCAAGAGACAGTGCAAAAGTACCATTTATTGAGCACCCAGTATGAGTCAAGTAGTAAGGATACAAGTTGGACATCAAGCTTGGGGTCAAGAAAACAAGATACAGCCAGGTAAGGGGGAAAAGACAGAGGACTGTACAAGCACAAACAAGGTTGATACCCAGTGTAGATCTGTTAGATCAGGAAAAGCTTCCCCAAGGGTAAAACATAATTCAGTGGAAAGATCTTGAAGTTAAATAGACCTTGTTTCCAATCCTGGCTCTGCCACTTACTAGCTGAGTTACCTTAGACAAATTACTTAGTAAGAACCAATATATTATCTTACTATTTGCCAGGCACTATTCTAAATGTTTTATATATGTTAACATCTCATTAAATCATAATGGCCCAATAAAATACACATTATTAGTATCCCCTGTTATAAATAAAGAAACTGAGGCAAAAGAAGTTAAGCAACTTGTTTTATTTTGGTTTTTTGGTACCGGGGACCGAACTTGGGTCTTTGTGCTTGCGCAGCAGGTGGCGAAACCACTGAGTTAAATCCCCGGCCCAAGCAACTTGTTCAAAGAAGGTCACACAGCTAACAGGGGCAGAGCTGAGATCCAAGCCCAAGCAGTCCAACTCAAGTGTAGGCATTTAAACTCTACTGCCTGTCAGCTTCTGTAGTCTCACTATCAGCAGTAAAATAAGACTTATTTTAAAAACTAAATGGAACACTGTGCATAAAGCACTTGGAAAACCAAGTGCTAGATAAATTGCATCTATTGTTACACGTGTGCAATGATTTATTCTATTTTAACCTCAGAAGAACATTATGGTGGAGGTATAATTACTCCCATTCTATAGGCAGAGACAGACTTGGGGAGGTTAAGCAATCAAGCTACAGTCATCCAGTAGTAGGTGGTAGAACAACTACTCAAACCCAGTGCTGCCTTATTCCAAAGCCCATGCTTTTCTAGTCCATCATCCTAAGGTCTGTGCCTAAGGCCCAACAGAGATGGCTGCAGGCCACCTACAAGGAAGTCTGGGATTTAGAAGTCTCCACAAAAGCTGCAAGCACTCAAGCATCACCTAGAGGTGCTTCACCAGTGATTAACACCCACCAGCCCGAGCACTGGCCCCAAGGCAATGCTCAGAACCCGCACTCAAACACACCAAGAACATCAGGGTCCTTAAAGGGTTCCAAACTCACCCATAACTATTTGAAACTAAAAGCTACTCTCAAATACTCCCTGGTGAACCCCTCAAAATAGCACAGTTCACCAAGGGCTACTGCATACAGGGCCACAGTGAGCAGGACTAGACTAGGGTCAGACACCTGATTTCCACCCCAAGAGTCTCACCAAGTCCTGGTGAGACCTGCGATGATGAATTAGTTTCTCTCTTGGTCCTCACTTTCTGGATCTGTGAAACAAGGATCATAAACACATTATCTCTCTCCTGAGGGGTTTTGAGAGGATCAAGGTAAGATAATTGCTGTGGTGGCACTTTGGAAGCAGTACAGAACGCTGTAGATAGAAGGTGTTATAAAATGACCTATTCCAAGTAGGTGACATGGTAACATTATTTTTACTTTATTCTTGGTTACTTTTGTTTAAAATCATTCTTGCTGCAAAAGCAAATAGTTTAGATTAATTTAGTATCTGAATTGAAGCAAATGTTTTTATTTAATTTCTCAGAACTATTTGAGGCAAATGGTACAATTTTATCTCTCTAGAAATGTTAAGAGTCGATGGCTCTAAACAATGAGGCCAATTATGGTCTCTCCCCCAAGATAAGCTCAAAGTTCTTCCTTTTAACATGAATGTGTTAATATTCCATGAGGAGCTCCCTGATATCTATAATTGTTCTTAGAATTCTCATGCCCTCCCCAAAGGAGCCTAATGTGAGAAAGGAGAGAAAATACCTAAGGAAATTCCAGGCCAATCCAACTATCTCTGAACCTGTATATCTAGATATCATTTCAATATCCCAATCATATGTTCCATGGGAACCTCATATTCAATGTGTCAAAAGCTGAACTCGCCATTCCCTACTGTGTTCTCAATCTCAATAAATGGCAGTTCTACAAGTTAACCTAGTTTGCTCCTTCCCACTCAATGTCTAAAAATAATGGATTGATTTTTAAGAGATTCTTACTGACATGCTATATCCTGTAACGTGAATGTTGCATATGTAATCTAAATATTCCCACAACAACTCCATGAAGGAATCATTACTTTACAAATGAGGAAACTGATGCTATTAAGCTGGAGACAGAGGTGGAATATGAACCAACATCAGGCTGACTGTAAAATTTTATTCCTTTGGTAGTGGGATGCTCTCCATCACCAAATTTTCTATTTTTTTCTACCTCATGATCTCTCTATTCTTGAACCCCAGTGCCTTCATTTGGGTATCATAACTTCTGGCCTGGACTACTCCAAGAGCCTGTCCTACTGCCTCTGTTAACTCTGACTTGGTCCCTAATCGCCATGGCCATCAGAGCAAACTTTTCAAAATGTAACAGTGATCATGTTACCTCCCTAAATTTCTCAATAGCCCCCAACAGCCTCAAATAAATGTTCAAATTTTTCAGCTCCACACAAGCCCCTTGTCATCTTATCTTTGTTCACCTCTCTAGAGTCACTCTCCACCATTCTCCCCACAAGTCTTACATTCCAGAGATGCTACTTGCAATCTCCTGAATCCACAGAGCTAGTTCCTATTTCTTGGTCTTCTAACATGCCCTCCTACCACTAAAATGGCCTACCTCCCTTTTTCCTCTATTCAATTGCTACTGGTCCTTCAGAAGTCATCTGATATGTCTCTCTTCTCCAAGAAGTCCTCTTTCTCTGACACCCACAGACTTAGAAAATGACCCTGTGGAGACTTGATTCGTTCTTTCATTCATTTATTCATTCATTAGTTCATATGCTTACAATGCTCTAGGTACCATGCAAGGTATTGGGACTACAGTGATTAGCTACACTGACACTACCCCTACATTCATGGGGATCACAGTCCTATAGGAGTGAGTCATCAATCTAATAATGACAGAAGTAAAGGAGCAACCACACAGTGAGGTGTGTAGGAAGAAAGAGAAGCACAGGGTGTTATGAGATCGTATATAAATAGTGGGGAAAGGAGACTGACCTAGCCTGAGGACAGAAAAATGACATAGGAGTTTAAATCTGAATCACAGGAGGAGATAGCTCATAGCATTAGAGGGAGAGGAAACGGCATCTGCTGCAGCCATGGAGTGAGGCAGCCCTTGCCAGGTTCTAGCAACTGAAAGGACAAGTGATGTACAGCTAGGTCTCCTCACTTGTCTGGAAGCAAACAGATGGCAAGACCTTGCTTGAGCTTATTTTATATCCCCGGTGCCCTGCACATGGTTTTTAATAAATGAGTCAATATATTCCATATCCGAAAACGGAGATATTTTTAATGGAGACTCTAACATACAAATACCTTGGCCTGAAGAACATTTGTTGCCACATCTATCACTGCAAGGCCTGTGGCTCCAGCTGCTGCCGTCACTAAGACAGTTTCTCTGTGCCAGAGAAAGATGAATGTTATTACAGAAACCTTCAAAACTCATCCTGTAATATGATTTCAGGAAATCTGTAGAACCAGAACATTTTAAAGCAACAATGTTAGAGATCGTTGCATTCAAACCTCCATGTACATCTGTTTTCTAGCCTGAGGGACAGGTTTACATATGTGACTTGTATGTTGCTGCTAATTTTGCCCAGCTTGGAAGACTTCCTAAGTTAATTAAAAGATTCCTTTATCTCTCTAGCCAGACTTTCCCTTCCCTCAGTGAAAACCTCTCCGCTGAGAAACCATCCCAATTTATGCTTCAGAAACTGTGTCTAAAATCATTTCATAGTAAATACTGCCCAACTTTAGAAGGTGACAGTCAAGTAATGGCCACAGCTGAACTAAACCCACTATTTGGGAGCAATTCTGAGAGTTGGCTCTCGGAAAAGATCAAGAGGCGGTTTCCCAGGTAGAGTGGGAAACTTCAGCACATTTGAGTTTGAAACACCCTACTTGGCACACGGTTTAAGCCTCGCAGAGACAAATATCACAGGCCTCCATTAAATTCATATATAAACCAACTCTGTAATTTTAAGGTGTTCCATGAAGTGCTCTCCAGGGTAGCCAGGTTTGAGAGAGCTATTTTCCCACATTTATTTTGGCCAAGTTCATAGTCTACCATTCCATCTCAGACAAAAAGGTGCCTCACAGTCGCCAGACCCCAAGGGCAAGTGCTGACCACTCTTTGTCCTTCCCTCAAGCAAAATAAACAAGAGCTGAAGGAAAAGAGAAGGAAGGGAATAGGAAGGTATAGGGAAAGATCTCGTTGGGCACTTCTAATATCAAGGAAGGGGATCAGCTAGCCCTCTGTTGTCAACATGTCCTTACCCAGGCTTGGTATGGGCCCGATGCTCCAGAGCCAAAATAGCAGTCCCATAAGTTACAGGTAAGGTAGCAGCTTCTCGCAGGGAGAGCTTCTCTGGAATCTGCCATAGGGTCTATAGAAAGAGGCAACAGCAGCTTAGGGATTAAACCTACATAACTGGTTGCAAAGGCTGTCAATAAATATGAATTGACCAGGTGACTAATCTGTAATGTGAAACAGATACCTGTTATCAAGCCCAGTGAAAGTCAAGACCAAGCAATCCATAGCAGAGTTTAGGACTTGGATGCAACAGACTTCAAAACCCTAAGGCTGGCATCTGGCCCAAAAAGGAGCCAATTTATGGAGAACAGGCCACAGATCACTGTTAACAGCAGAATTATATGGTATATAAATTTTACCTCAATAAAACTGAGGAGGGTCTCTGTACTGTCCACCACTAGGGGGAACCATTCACATCCTGCTCACATACAAAGCCACCCTGGCTGGCTCCACTCCCAGGGCTATCTCTTTCATAGGCTTTGTATGGGGGACAAGCCCATTACATCCAGCTCAATACCCCAAACCAGTTTTTCTACCAAAACCACCTAACTATAGTCCAACTGGACAACCAGCCAATTGCTCAGGCACTCCAAACATAGAATGCCCTTCTTCATTAAAGCACTCTACACAAACAAAGCTCTGTCAAGGGCTGTCACATCAATAAAGAGAAGGAAGGGGCTTAGGATTTTTTTAAAGGATCAGTTTGGCTGAGAAACAAGATATGACCAAACAAATGCAAAGACAAAGGAGGAGAAGGGAGAATAAGAAATGGGGGAAGAGTGGAAATTAAAGAAAACAAAGGAGAAAAAATATCTCCAAGCATTAATATTGAGAGTGGGATACCTTCTGGTCAGTGATGCATTCTTCAGCCATAGCATTAAAGTGACTCACACCAATAACTCGATCTCCCTAAAGGGATAAACAGCATTAAAGCTACGTTCAATGCATGGCCTTACAGTTAGCTCTTCCTGAATTAATCAAAGAATGAAAGAAAATACACATCTCTCATCCTATAAGACTATGGCTTTAATATCTAGAGTTAATGTTTAGTAAATAAAATAGCAATTTCTCAATACTGCCACCAGGTTGCCAAGCCCATCTGAGCACATTTTAGACAATGATGTGGTTGAGTAAGGAAAAGGTGGATATGAATTAGAATTAACTTCTTTCACCTGAGACTCAAACGTGAGCCTTCTCCAACCACTCAGTAACTAAAGACTGAGATCTTGCTTTTTAATTACAATAAAGAGTTTAATGAAGCCAGAAACTTCCACCAAGATTCCCCTCCCCTGAATTCAGAATTAGTTTCTTTCTCTTCCATCTCAGTTTCCCTTTGGTGTCTGTTGGCAAAGGACAAGAGAAGCAAGATCTTTTGGGTACAAATGAAGTTAGCAGTTCAATCCCTGGCACAAAAAGAAGTTAGCACATTTCTCATAGCTACAAACATGTTTATTCCCCAGATTTCAACTGATTTACCTCTTTCACTGTACCGACATCAGTGCCTGTCTCCAGTACAGTCCCAGAAAACTCCATCCCTGAAACATTATTCAAAGATTAGGTTACCTGTAAAGGTCAGAACTATGGAGATGAGAAAACCCTGATCAATAGGCCATCCAGCCAGTGTTTTAAGAGTAAGATTTAAATACCATCTTTTTCACCTCAGCAGAGGAGTACAGCACTGTACCCAAAGCACAGGAAAGTGAGCATAAGATTTCATGATCACAACCTGAAAGGCTATGGCAGTTCTATTCTTAACCTTGACACAGTGATATCTCTGAGAATGTGCAAAAGCATGGAGAATCACGGGTGACTGGAACATCTGACCCCAATCACTGGGGCGTTGGGCTTTTACAGAACCCCAACTATGAGGTTTATTATGTGGTATCTATGTGTTTGCATATACCTTCTGCTAGACCATAAGGTCCTAAAGGACATGAATGGCGTTTATTCAAACAGTACTTGGTCAACTGGATGAATTCGTGTTGTTTGCCCTTTCTTCTACCTCTGAAATGTCTGACTTTAATGATCATACATTTCCTTCTGGAGCTTCCTGGGGAATAACTCAATCATATATCATATCTTCCCCTGTTCAGCATTTTAGCAAATACAAACAGAAGGAAATGGTTCCAACTGTTAAGATACAACCCTATACCAGAACATAGCAACTATTTTGCAATCACTGTGTCCTTAATAATACATATGTGTATAAAATATCCATGTGCTGCAATTAGGAATGAAAAGGGTATAATTACAACAGACCCAGCAGAAATCCAGAGGATCATCAATACCTATTTCCAGACCTATACGCCAATAAGATGGACAACACAGAAGAAATGGACAGATTCCTAGATACATA